AAAAAAAAAAAAGTCTAAATTGATTTTTGTTGATTATATTAATTGAATATGTCGAGCTAATTGATTTAAATCTTATTGATGATTAGTATAATCATTACTATTTACATCGTCATCACTCTGATTAATAGAACAATCAGAAGAAAACAATCTTCATGAATCATAATTTGATGAAGAACTTGATGTACTACTTGAACTAGTCGAATATTCATATAAAACTATTATTAATTCAATATTACTCATTTATCTTGATTGTTTGATAAGATTAGTAAAATTTATTATTTCTTTTTTGTTATTGAAATCATTGAATTAAATAAGTTTGTATTTATAATAATTTGTTCATTTGAACTAATATAATTTGTTGAAAATGATGATAAAACATTTGTAGCAATTCTACAAGTAGGAAGAAGTCATATATTGATTGTTGTTGACGATTTGTTTAATCATTTTCATTGGCATATTGTACGACCGTTGATCTGTTTCTATTGGCAATGTTGATGACAAAAAAGTATGTTTGTAATTTTGATTTTTTATTAAACATTTTTTCGGAGAATTTATTTCAAAGGTTTGTTTTTTTTTCAGTGAATTAAAACTGATGAAATAAATGAGTTTATTCTCTTTCATTTTGTCAAAAAAATAATTTAATCTTTCAATTTAAATATTTTTTTTTGTCCTTCTTTCAATAAATAAAAATAAAATATTCTACTTTTTCCTGTTTTATTATCTGATATTTTTATTATTGCTAAAGATGGCATTAATGATCTTCTTTTTTATTTTTTTGCACATTCTAATAAACAATCAAGTGTTCAATAATGTAACTGAAGTTGATTGGTAATTGAAAGTACTTGAATATGTTTTATTGTTTCACCAAGATTTCGTGACGATTCTTTGCAAATATATAAAAAAATATAGAACCAACTTCTTTTTATCCTCATATGAGTACAAATTCAAATCAGTCAAAAACAAAGGATAAAACTTTTTTCTGCAAAAAGTTAAGATTCAGTGATGGCTTGTGTTCAATGTATTGATCGAAGTTTACTAACACGTGTATGAAAATAACTATAAGGTAATTCTACATGAACTCAACCGCGTCATACCGAAGTGATGATGGATTTCAATGAAACTTTCAGAGTTTATAGAGATCGAAATTCTAAAGATAATGGTAAAAACATTTTTTTGAAAAGCTTTCATTTTGACGAAGATAAGTACAAAATACTGAAAATAGTAAAAATCGATGTGCACAAAACACGATTTTTTTCAGAATTTATTCCTAACTAGTTTTTCTTATGTTTCTACACTAAAAGAAAGTTAAAAATAAAGTTCGAGGACATCTTCGGATTCCTCGTGAAAAGGCGCATCTGACGACACTAATTATGATCATAATTTTGAAAAAAAAATGAGTCTGAAATATGATGTCAATGACACAACCCCTCCTCCCATACAGGGTATTCTTGTGATCAAGATTATTCAAAAAAGCTGAATTGCCCAATACAGTGGCATAGCGTATATCAAACAGAAACAGATCAATGTATATCCCTCCGATACAAATCAATCTGCTAATCTCAACTCTTACTTTTCAGCAATCAATGAAGTCGTAATTGATTTAAAAAATTGAATATCCGTGCTTTATGAAATAATAAAAAGAGAAGGCAGAGTTTAATTTCACCGACGCATTTCGGGTTTATTTTATTAAAATTTTAAAACACTCATCAGGGCTCTGCATTACAAAAAAAGCAATTATTCAAACAAAAAATTTTAAAATGGATACTAATTATTGCTTATAAAAAAAACTACACTAAATTAAAAACAAAATGTTACATGTAGACTACTTTTAATGCATAATTCATCATATGACTTTTGACAGATTATATATAAAAAAACAATTAACAATTCAATAAAGTTACAATAAGATTAGCTACTTAATAAAAACACAATTTGAATAAAACAGAATCAATAAAGTCGATAAATATGCAGAATAAGATTATCAATATAACGAAAAATGTAGCAATGCAAAATTGCTAGTGGATTTGTCTTTCATATCAGACTTCAATAGCATGGAGCTGCTGTTTTGGATTCATCAAATATAAATTTGGTCCCAATTTTAATAAATGATGTTCTTCTTCAGTAAATTGAATATTTGCTTCATTAATTATTGCTGGAGAAAGAAATCCTCGTCCAGCGAACGTATGAGAGTCGGAGCGACTATTCCCTCTTCTGTATTGTTGATTCGCCCTTGATTCGCTGCTCGAATAACAAATAAAATGATTGTTTAATTTCTAATTTCATTCTTTTCTCTCGTAACTCATGATATTGTTTGAAAGCTGCATAACCAGGTTCAGCATCAAATCCATCATCATTCTCTTATGGAAATCTTTCAATAATACTTTTAATTTCATTCGATAAGATTTCATTTTCTCGAGCAGCTGGTTGAACATATAATTTCATTGCTTGAGTCCGAAAATCTTTCGTAATTTGACGCATTTGATTATACATGGCTTGTGCTTCATCTTGACTTATAATTGATTCATCAATTTTAAAAGAAAAAACAACTTTATCAATAATTTTTGGAGGCATATCTAATTCAATACGTTTTGATAGTACTTGATAATTTTTATTTTTAGTTAATCATAGCTTCACTTTAGGTTTAAGCAAGAAATGAGTGTTCCATTGGGCTGGGGTGGTTATTTGTTCGAAATCTTCTAAAACTTTATATTCTTCCATTTGAGCTTTAGCTAGTTGTATTCGAGTTTGAGCCATCTTTTTAACATGTTGCGTACAAAAATAAATATATTCTAATATATATTTTTCAATACGTTCAACTGGTTCACGTACATAATTTTTAACAGTAGTTGTCGGAGCAGCCGCTGTAGTTCCTGTACCTAATTCATCATTTGTATTTGTTTCTACACTTCCTACAGCTATTGTTTGACATGTTCTATCGACTGATAATTTTTTGGCTATTATATTAGCTGTTGTTTGAGCTAATCTTTGATTTGTAGTTTCAGAAATAGTTTGCATCCAATATGTGGATAATTGAATTTGTGTTTCTGAAATAGTAGCACATGCTTCAGCAATAACAGTTGTTAATCGATTAATTTTCTTTTGAACAAATCGAGTATTAATAATATTATCTCGTCTTTTTGTACGGCGAACAACTTCTTTAGCCCAATGTTTTTGCTCAGTACTCATTTTTAAATAAGCTTGCCAAACCTGTAATTCATAATTATTTCTCGAATCCATTCATCATAAATTGAAACTGAAGCTAATACATATGCTTGATTACCACGACCACTTATCGCATTTTTTGAATTTCTTGAATGTTCTTCTAACCATTTTAATATACAATTCGGTTTAAGATATCGACGAATCTCCTTTTATTTTTGTCTTTTCTTTGTTTCTTATTAGTATTTGACGGTATCGATTCATCTTTAACTTCTATTTCTACATCAGATAAATTATCATTTTCATCAATTAATACAACAAATCCATTATTACGACGTTGTCGACGTCTAAATGAAGACGTAGTTTTACGTTGTCGTTGATTTTTTTGTTGTTGTTGTTATTGTAGTACCTGTTGATTTTGATTATTTTGATTCACTGTAAAAGGTTGAGTTGTATTCTTTCGAGTAAATATTTCACACTGCGGTAATGCATCTGGTGGAACGTTCATAGTAGTAGTAGTTGTTGTTGTTGTCGAGGCCGTTACTGTAGCTATATTAAATTCAGGTGGAAGATTTGTTGAAGGCTCATGCAATTCAATTGGCATAAAATCATTTAAACGAATTTGTCGTGGACCTCGTCTACGTCGTTGTACTTGACTTCTTGGACGATTACTTGGTTGACGTCTACTACGTAACCTAACAGGTTGGACTTGGAACAATCTTTCCTGTCGTTATGGGTGTGGGTGTAAATCTTCCAAGGTGGAAACAGCAGACTCCAACCTCTTGGAGTTCCATGAAGTCCCATGGAGTCTCTCGGAGTCCCTCGGAGTCCCATGGAGTCCCTCGGAGTCCCATGGAATCCCTCGAAATCTCTTAGAGTCCCTCAGAGTTCAAACATATTTTCTGTTACATTGCTAAAATTCCCTAAAACACAATACAAAATTGTTACATCTTAACCCTTTGGGGATGGTGGTACAAGAGTTGTACCACCTATTCCCCAGTAAGGAAAATATTTGTTCCTCATTAAGCTGTGATCACCTGTAAGATAATAGGTCATTACAGTTGTCATCGCATGGATATCTTTTCTCTCTTTCTTCCTGTCATATAGATGCTTCTCGGATCTGCTCTTCTGTTTCTACCCTATACACTGATGCCATGATCACTTCTTCTCTTATCTTAATGCATTGTCATAAGGCTTTTATGTAATCATTTTGAGTCAAATACAATACATTGACGAAAGAGCCGCTTTTCAATTGAAAAATAATTCCGTCCCCAAAGGGTTAATGTTTTTCATCAATCATGATATCAGAAGGGATAAATATAAGCTAAGAAGGCGGTTACTAGTGATGATCCTAGCGAATGGCAAGGGTATAGTATCCCTCCTGGTAACATTTTTTAATTACGTATTTTAATAGTCAGGAGGCTAGCTCCCTAAAGGAATTCAAGCCTCTCCTGAGAATATTTTTCAAACACGCATTTCATAGGTAAAAGGTACTGACTCCCTTCATAGTACGCAAATCCTGATTCCAACATTAATGCTTACATTTATTCGTATTTTTCTACTTGGGCAACTCTCGTTTTTCTGGCAAATCTATACTATGCTTCTTAACTACATGTAGCACACTAGCTGGTTCTGTCACTTTTAGTTAAACAGAATATCATTTATTAAAAAAGAAAAGGAAAAACATATTACATGAAAGACATGCATTTCATTTCTTAATTAATTAGTCTGTATTACTCGTAATAATCTCCAGATAGAAGTTTTTTTTCTGTTGCTAGTCAACAAGTGGACTGCTGATGTGTAGGTTTTCTAGTTTTCTATCTTTTGGTTTATTTAATTGACTATTAAACCAAAACAAGCTGTTAACGGTATTAAAATAGCCTCATCTTTTAACAAGACATGATATTAAATTGTATGTATGCCACTTGTTCTGATGTTCAAAACACATTTTACAGGAACTAGTCATTTATTGCTCTCAGTACGACGCTGAGAAAAGAAATATAAGCCTTTTATATGGAGCTTCTCCCAAAAATATACATCATTTTCTGAAACTGACGGGAAAGTAGTTTTCTTTTAAAGATTAATAGTTTATGTCTATAGCACAACAATTATCCTACAATATTGCTCTGTTATTTGAAATATTGTACAAAAATTTTATTTGGAGATCCTCTAGCGCATTCGATTGTACATAGTTTTTTAATTTTCATTCGTGCAGGAAAAACTTTTCTTGAGCCACACGAACAGTTGTTTATAGTACCCAGGTGCTAAACTGAGTCCATAAGATGCCGTTTGAATTGGGTCGAAGAGTTCAATGGCTGAATGTGTCTCTTAGGGCGAATTTCGCTCTACTAAACCCAATAGTTGAAATCTGAGTCAAATTTGCAATGATCAAAATATCTCTTTCGAATTATTTTTTTTTGGAAACCAAGGATGGACACATGGGACTATAGTATGCTTTATTCCACTTAATAGAAAAAGCAACAATTGTTTGGCTCGGAGTTTCTGACATGTGTAAAAGCCATCATCACCAGTCATTTTTGAAAGTTTCGGTGTCTATGTCACAACCACCTTGTGCATTCATGTTTGATCAGCTGTGATTCATACATAATACTCATGTATGGTGATGCCATACCAAAATCAACCATACTGGTCAGAAAATTTTCCAGGATTAAGCAATTAAGGGATATATGGTTTTACCAGAAATTTATTACTGAATAAAACTATGTACAGAGGTGATAGCTAAAATGTATACTTTACGATAAAACTTAAACATCTCACTTATCGAGCATGTCATATAAGTCATAATGACATAGTGTATCGAGCTGTGGTCACTGTTTCGGTTCGAATCGAGATGATAATTTCGCCATTATATATATATAAACAACCGCAGAAATAACTGTTTCTTAGTAGCAATAAAAGTTTACTTTAAAGGTTTTTTCGACACAAAACTCACGGATATCTGAAAATTATACTAAAAAAATCCTCAAGTATTAGTAGTTAGTATGGAAATGACCTCAGTGAATTGCTTCAATGCGTCCATTTGTATCTCTAGTTCAAACTTGCCATATAACAAATACTATTCTTAATGCTCTTGATGAGCAGTGAAGATACCGAAATATTCATGTTGATTCCGTATACCTCACTTTTAACATGCTCTATGTATTCTCGTGATATTAGTCATATGAGGAAAGCTCAACCGAAAAATGTATTCATGTTCTACCGTCCGGCCAACATTTGAACTATCAGTTCAATACAGTTTTACTCCGCAATGAATTTTTAATAGAACTATAGAGTGCTTGGAAGAGTAAAATTTATTCTGTAAAACACAATTAGCCACTAAACTTTCTAATCTAGCTTAAAAGACATTCAAAAGACTCACGTTAGTTTAGTACCTGAGTATTACCTAAAACTGCTCGTCTAACTCTAAGAAGATTTTTGTAGCATGAATAAAAATTCAAAATCTATGTATGGTCAAATGTGCCAGATGCTGAAGAACAAAAGTATGCAGTCAGAAGGAGTTTGCCACCGTACTCCAGCAAAATGGTGAAGATCACAAACTTCAGTCAATTTTTCTGTTTTCATTTTTCGGATTCTTCAGCAACATTTGTAGGTCGGGTACCTCTCCAATACAATACTATTGTCAGCTAATTGTTCTACTGTATGTAGCATTCATCACATTTCATAAGAAAAAGTGCCTCTATCGATTACAGCATCCGGAGGCTTTCTGTGGGAGACTCTTCATGGAATCAGTCGTTCCAAGTCAAAGAGAAGGTGACAGAGATGAAGTTTTTACAAGTGAAAAGTGCCCATTTTTTTACTCATTAAAAATATCTTTTTTTGAAAGAAATAATTATCACAACGTTGAATTCCATAAGAATTTCTAATTTCGTAAAGCGTTCAAATGTGACTTTTCACCCGTAAAATTAGCGTTTTTTTTCCCAACATGCTTCTGACTGAGCTATTTGTATAGTGAAAAAGACTTAAAGGCTATAAAGGTTTTTTGCTGCTTTGGCCATCTTTAGAATCTTATGGGGTCCCTTGGAATCCCTCGCAGTCCCTTGGAGTCCCTTGGAGTCCCTTGGAGTCCTATGAAGACCCGGAGTCTGCTGTTTCCCCCTTGGGATTTTGTCAAATTCTAATTAAAGAAGAAGACAAATTTAAAACTGCATTTATTATTCCAGATAGTCGTTTCGAATGGAATGTGCTGGCTCAAAATCTCAAGAATAGCCCACCATCTTTTCAACGAGTAATGACTGATATATTATCTACATGTCGGCAATTCTCGTTGGTTTATATTGATGATATCGTGGTGTATTTTCGTTCATTTGAAAAACATCTCAATCATCTTACACAAGTATTATCTGCTTTATTCAAACATAATTTTCAACTTAACCCGGTCAAATGTAGCATTCTTCATTAACAAATCGATTATTTATCTCATACGATATCTGAACATGGTGTTAAGCCAATCAATGAAAAAACTCAAGCAATTATTAATCCTTTACGGCCGGCCACCAGAGGATGGAAAGCAAAAAATTCTTCTTCTATGTATTCTTTGTCTCCTAGATGTGGAGGTTACCGAATTCCATCTTGGGGCTTAGAGAACTGATACTGAGCCGAATGCCAACATGTTGCCTTTTGGCAACAGCCGGCCGTAAGGATACAAAAAGTTGGAAAAAGTGAATTGTTTTTTCGCGATGAAAGTCCAATAATTTGCTGTTAGTTTTAATCCGGATTGTCAAACAAAAGCATACTTTGTTCATCTGCCAATCTCTTACAACCTTAATGTGAAATATATTTCCATAATACTTAAAAACTTTCCGAAATAGCGCAAATTTCACCTATTTTCCTTAGGGAAGCTAATGAATTTAGTAAGATTTTAACAAGATTAGTAATGTGTTATAGTAGTCTGAATAGAAATACTATGATGTGCTATAAATTGTGTCAGAATCTCGCTGAATTTGTTAGCTCCTTTAGAAAAAATAGGTGAAATTTGCGCTATTTCGGAAAGTTTTGAGTATTATGGGAATATATTTCACATTAAGGCTGTAAGAGATTGGCAAATGAACAAAGTATGCTTTTGTTTGACAATCCGGATTAGAACTAACAGCAAATTATTGGACTTCCATTACGAAAAAATAATTCACTTTTTCCAGCTTTTTGTACCCTTACGGCCGGATGTTGCCAAAAGGAAACATTCTTGCACTCTGTTCTTCGAGTAAGCTGAACAATTCATCTTATTGGTATAATAGATAATGGGCCTGGAGAGGAAAATTGACCAATAGTTACTGCTCGCATCAAATGCTCGGACAAATGGAAAATAGATCATTTCGATTCTGGAGCTGCTTTGGGTGTTGGCAGGAGAATTCATCTTTCTCGCCAACAATAGCTTTCTCCTTTCATGGAAAAACATAGAATTGCTCTAAAATGCATGTAGTTAATTATCAAACCGCTCCAGGAACTATATCTCATCGCTTTGAGATAAATCCTAAGATGATATTGACAAAATGTTGCCATTTGGCAACATCCGGCCGTAAAGGGTTAAGGAGCCGCCGGAATTGAAAGGGTTAACAAAAACAAATAGACACAAATTCGAATAGGGTGCTTCTCAATCTCAAGCGTTTTCACAATTGAAACAATTATTAATTACTTCTCCATTATTTCTTCATTTTCCAGATGATAATTATCCTGTTATATTAACAACAGATGCATCAGAAATTGGTATTGGTGATACATTACAACAAAATATTAATGGTGAAATAAACAATTTATATTATCATTCTCAAGTTACATCTTCTACTCAACGACGATATGATCTTATTGAATTAGAAGCATTAGGCATATGGTTATGTTTTCAACGAATGCGATCTTATCTACTTGGTAGATCTATTATAATTTATATTAATCATTGTCCTTTATGCAAAATGATGAACTCATCGGTGAAAAATCGGTAAGTGGATCGAATTTCTATTTATTGCAAGAATATAATATCGAAAAAATTATTCATATTAAAGGTCAACATAATTGTTTAGCTGATTATTTATCTCATCATCCAATACAAAATGATGAAGAAATATTTGATGAGGATTACGGTATAAGCATGTTATTTCGAGAAAGTTTCAACTCGTCACGTGACGAGTTGAACAAACGACAAAAATCAGACCTTTCGTAATACTAAAAATAGGGATATTCAAAAATACAGGGATGTCATAGCGAAATTTACAGGGCGACTGTAACGATTAATACAGGGAGTTCGTAACAGTTGCCGAACTTTCGCAACGAAGCAACAGAGATTTCGTAACGAGGAGGAGGGTGATAGCTGGGCTTGGTTTTCAGAAATTACATGCTTTTCGGTACGAAAACTCTGTAATGGTATATATTAAAACACTCGTGACGATCACCCTGTAAAATTTGTTACGAAATCCCTGATTTTTTGTTACGAAAGCCCTGATTCTGTCGTTACGAAAGCTCTGTTACGGGCTTTTGTACTGTCAATTCGTTACGAAAGCCAGAAAACAAAAATCGTGACGAGTTGAAATTTTCCTGTTATTTCAGGAGGAACCACCAGAGACGGTCCATGCTCCTGTCAATCATCCTTCAGTTATTGGTGCTGTTGTTACGCGTTCAAAAATGAAACAAATAAAACAACAACAAAATGAAAATGACAAAATTACATCACCCACTGTAAATGATATATCATCGTCGTCAAGTAAAGACAAAATTGAACATTCAAATAAATCTCCATCACACTTAATTTCATCTAACAATTTTGATATAACTCAAATTAAACTTGAACAGTCAAAAGATTCAAATATTCAGAAGAAGATTAAAGAAGTTATGCAAGATCCAACAAAACATCCTTATGTAGTTACAGACGATTTATTATATAGATTGGTATTAATAAATGTTGCTAGTAATAAAAAGAAAAAAGTAATTTATTTACTTTCAGTCAAATTCAATTTCATCCTGTACTTATACCATAATGATCCGCTTAGTGGTCATTTTGGCATTCAACGAACATATTCAAAAATTAAAAATAAATTCTGGTAGCCAAATATGAAACAATCGATTATTCAACATATTCAATCTTGTTTACCTTGTCAACAACATAATATTAGTCATACAAAGAAAGCAGGTCGACTTAATCCATTTCCAACTCCAGAGGGATCATTTCAATTAATTGGTATTGATTATTGTGGTCCGTTCAAACCAACACCTCGTGGTAATCAATATGTATTATGTATTACTGATTATTTTACAAGATGGATGACTGCAATAGCTTTACCTGATTGTTCAGCACAAACCACGACTCAAACATTATTTAATAATTATATTTGTTAATATGATGTACCATTAGCTATATTATCTGATCAAGGTACTCATTTTAGAAATCAACTTATGGAACCCATAGTAAAATTAATTGGTTACAATCATAGTTTTTCAAGTGTTTATCACCCACAAAGTAATAAGATGATTGAATATTTTAATGCGACATTCGTTCCTCAAATTATCAAACTTCAAGATCTAGAAAATAACAATTGAAATGAATTCTTATCACCAGTGGCATTTGCTTACAACATCGGCATCCATGCAACAACTAATTATTCACCATTTCAACTACAGTTTGGTCGAGAATCATGTTTACCTACTGATGAACCTTCATCATCATTGACTTTCAATAAACCAACTGATTATTATGTACAATTGGAAAACAATCTGTTGATAATACAACAACATGCACGTGATAATATTATTCATCAACAACGACAATACAAGATTAATTATGATAAACAACGTCCAGATCCATATTATGAAATCAATGATCCCGTATTGATTAAAATTCATGGAATAAAGAAAAAATTAGAACAAAAATATTCGATTACACCAAAAATAATTACTAGAAAACAAAATCCAATTTATTGAGTCAAAGATGAAAAAACACAGGTCGAATCCAGAGTACATGTTAATGATATTCGACCTATTCTTATTTTAAAATCAACATGATATATTAGTGTTTATTTATTTGCTAATGATCATTAAATGTTAATGTTATGTTATGTTTATGGTGATTCAATGTTTGATCAACTTTGTTGTATGCGCAACGACTTAGTTGAACTAACATCGATTCATTATGCTTCTGAACATATTGATATTTTAATTAGCGCGCATTAATTATCAATATATTGTCATTTGCATATGGTAACATTAACAAATATTGATTATTACAGATATCAACAAATTATACACAGACAACTTTCCTTTTTAGAAGTGTTTCTATTTATAGCAAACGATGTTATTTCCTTTTAACCTTATGTATTTTATTAATATTTATCTTCATATATTAACGATATCTATTTATATGCAATTTTGATAGGTTTATTCTTCTGACGAATGATAAATTATATAATTTATTTGTTTATGTTACTTATGTTTGTGCCAATGGACATATCATCTTATATGATATCTTTACTTTCTCAGTGTGTTCTTGTACAATCAATGTTACGCAGTGTTCATAATCGCATTACTCTTACATTTATGTATGCTTGATTGAACCTTATTCTCTTTCTGTCGTAATGCACTTCTCATTCTACATTCACTCGTATATTATATGTATTGCTCTCATCTATATGTTCTTACTCGAGTGTTCTTCTATATCTGTTCTCTCCTTGGCCTCATCACTTGTTCATTCTTACATTGCATAATCTTCTGTTATATCTTACCTCTTTCCTCGCTCACCTTATATTGTATTATCTATTCTCTCTCTTCTCTCCCATCTCTCTCCTATACAAGCTCATGTTATGTATGAGAGTGTTACATTTGGATGTAGTGCACAGTCGAATAAACATCATGCTCACAATGAGATTAAAGACATTAATGTGCCTCTCCATTTGTCATAATGAAATTATATATATATAGAAATATATATATATATATAT